AACACAGCTGCACAAAACCCCTAAAGCTTGGGACAGTACATTCCCCACACTGGAAATAGACTCCTACCTTAACAAAGAGTTTATAACTCAAGTAATTGACTGGGATCATGAGCAAGCAGCGCAAAAATTATTATCTTACTTTGATGACAAAGCATATCAAAACATACAACCAGAAGAAGACAACAAAGCCAAAGCTCCTACATCCAAAGCCTCCAAGAAAAATATGAATTGGTCCCAGGCCATGGAAGAGTTCAAAAAGGATTTTAAGAAGCAAGTAAGAGAAGTAGAGGAAAAACTGAGAGTGATGCTAAAGGAGACCCAAAAAAATACTGAAGAAAATAACACCTTAAAAAATAGCCTAATCCAAATGGCAAAAGAGGTCCAAAAAGACAACGAGGAGAAGAATGCCCTTAAAAGTAAAATTAGCCAAATGGAAAAGGAAGTCCAAAAGCTTACTGAAGAAAATACTTCCTTAAAAATTAGAATGAAGAAATTGGAAGATAGGGACAATTTGAGAAATCAAGGCACTGTAACACTAATCAAAAGGAATGAAAAAATAGAAGAGAATGTGAAATATCTCATTGGAAAAACAACTGACCTGGAAAATAGATCCAGGAGAAAGAACTTAAAAATTACTGGACTATCTGAAAGCCATGATCAAAAAAAGAGCCTAGACATGATCTTTCAAGAAATTATCAAGGAAAACTGCCCTGATACTTTAGAACCAGAGGGCAAAATAGAAATTGAAAGAATCCACCAATCACCTCCTGAAAGAGATCCCTAAAGGAAAACTCCTAGGAATGTTGTATCCAAATTACAGAATTCCCAGGTCAAGGAGAAGATATTACAAGCAGCCAGAAGGGAACAATTCAAGTATTGTGGAAACACGATCAGAATAAAACAAGATTTAGCAGCTTCTACAGTAAGGGTCCAGAGGGCATGGAGTATGATATTCCGGAGGGCAAAGGAATTAGGACTACAATCTAGAATCACCTACCCAGCAAAACTGAGTATAATCCTTCAAGGTAAAAAATGGTCATTCAATGAAATAGAGGACTTTCAAGCAATCCTGTGGAAAAGACCAGTGCTGAATAGAAAAATTGACTTTCAAATACAAGACTCAAGTGAAACATGGAAGAGGTAAACAGGAACGAGAAATCATAAGAGACTTATTAAGGTTGAACTGTTTACATTCCTGCAGGAAAAGATGATATTTGTAACTCATGAGTCCTTTGTCAGTATTAGGGTAGTGGGAAGGAAAAAATTATGTTTGTATAGATAGATAGAAGACACAGGGTGAGTTGAAGATGAAGGGGTGATATCTGGAAAATAAAATTAAGGGGTGGGAGAAGATTATACTGGGAGAAGGAAAAAGGGAGAAGTAGAATGAGGTAAAATATCTCACATGAAACAAAGAAAAGGGTTTTACAGAGGAGGGGAAATGGGGGAAGGTGAGAGGGAATGAGTAAATCTTATTCTCATAGGATTTGGCTTAAGGAGGGAATAACATATGCAATGGGGTATGGAAATCTATCTTACTCTACAGGAAAATAAGGGGGGAAGGGGACAAGAGAGAAGGGCGTTAATAAAGGGTAAGGCAGATTGAGGGAGGGGATAATCAAAAGCAAACACTTCTAAAGAGGGACAGGGTCAAAAGAGAGAACAGAATAAACAGGGGTAGGATAGGATGAAGGGAAATATACTTAGTTTTTCACAACAGGACTACTATGGAAGTGTTTTGCATGACTACACATCTACAACCTGTATCAAGATGCTTGCCTTTTCAATAAGGGTGGGTGGGGAGGGAGGAAGGGAGAAAACCTGTAACCCAAAGTTTTAAAAACACATGTTAAAAATTTTTTAAAATTTAAAAAAAGAAAGAAAATGTTAAAACAAAGTCAAAAGACTGAAAAAAGAGAGAGAAAGAGAGAGAAAATGGAAGGTATCTCATTTCAAAAACAACTGACCTGGTCAAGAAGAAATAATTTAAGAATCAGTAGGTGAAGGGATTACTAGAAAAAAGAGCCCAGCTATTGTATTTCAAGAAATCATGAATAAAAAGTGTCCAGATCTATTAGAACCAGATGAATGACAAAATGAAATAGAATCTGCCCATCATCTCCTGAAAGAAACTATAAAATGAAAACTCCCAGGAGCATTGGAGTCAAAATCTAGAGCTTCTAGACCATAGAAAACCTACTGTAAGCAGCCAGAAAGCTACCTGGCTCAAATGAACTACATGTATCCTAAGTCACTATCAATGATGTTTGGAAGATCATGAAGATTAGAAGAGGTATGACATGACTGAAAAGCAAATTCCTAATTTTTTTAAAGGAGGAGAATAAAGTATATAAATTAAAGGCTGGTAAGTTTGACTGATTCCTAATAAAAATTCAGAATATTTTTAAAGTCATGTTTAGTGGACCTCAGGAAAAAGAGGCAGTGATCATTTCCACATGGCCTTAGATATTTGGCAACTATGACAGATTAACCTGATTTCTTTCTTTATTCCTTCCTTCCTTCATTTCTTCCTTCCTTCCTTCTTTTCTTTCTTCCTCTCACAGGATTATGTATTGTAATCAATTCCATCCAATTCTTTCTTTCACTAGCTGTTTTCAAGGTTCCTATATGAAGCCTTTCCTGATTCCTCCCAGCACTACATATTTCTTTTGTATATATCCACTATGGCAACTAAGACTATAAACTGTGAAAGTACTTTGGGTTTTTTTCTTTTAATTAAATTAATGGTTAAATTGGGTTAAATTGGGGTTAAATATTGGGTTAAATATTGGGTTAAATCTTTTAATTTAGTTGTGCCTTTTGTTTTTATATTATATTTACTTCTGAATATATATGTGTATGTATGAGTTTGTGTGTATGTGTGTGCATGTATGTATGTATGTACACACACCAGAGGTGATATGGAGGTTTAAATATACCAGGGAAATGGGTATATGGAGACAGAGAAGGAAGAGATTTTCCTAATAGTAATGTGCAGCTGGGGAGAGATTAAGAGCTTGTATAGTCTTGAGAGCGAAGCAAGAGGTGGGGAAATGGCAAAGCACTTCCCTTTAATAGGTAAAGAAGGTTGTATCGGAGACAAGCCCCATGGAGACAAGGATGTTTGGGCTGTGATCCATCTTTCTACCTTTTGATTGGCTGATCATGGACCCTATGAGGTTATGTCATGGTTTCCCGGGGGGGTAGCAGGCCCATCACTTTAGAAACCACAATTCTAAAAGAACGATAATTAGAGGAACTCTGTCTAGATAAGACATCAAACACTAGCCATGTGACTTTGGGGAGGTCCCTTAACCTCTGTGTGCCTCAGTTTCCTCATCTGTAAAATAATGAGGCTCAGACTCAATAGTTTCTAAGGTTCCTTCCAGCTCTAAATCTATGAATCTAGGATAATATGATTGGCATGTTCTCACTGCACGAGTGGGATATGGGGTGTGCCTGCAGAGCAATAAACAAAATCCACTTCAATGATTCCTCACTGAGGAGGTTAAGTGCCCAGGATGACACAGCCATTATATGTCAGTTAACATGAATTTATTAAGCACTTGCTATATCCCAGCAATTTATGTATTCCAGTATATATAACAAATATACATTTGTGAAGTAAATAAATTATATTCAAAGACAGTCAAAAACGGTCCCAACCCTCAAGAAGCACACATTCTAACGTAGGAGGAAGGGAGAGGACAACATGTAAATGACCAGGTACATATAAGATATATAAAGAGTAGATGTAAGTTAATACAGGAGGGGGAGGGGAAGTTATTAGCAGCTGGACAGACTGAGGAAAGGCCTCCTCCAGAAGGTACGATTTGAACTGAGTCTTGAAGAAGGACAGGGAAACCGGCAGAAGTCACTCCACACAGAGCATTTCAGCCAATACAAAGACGTAGACATGGGAGAGGAAATATTGCATTGGAGAAACTGCAAATGAGACAGTGAAATTGGATCATAGAGTACTTGGGAAGGAGTGCAATGAAGACTAGAAAGGGAGAACAGGGCCAGGATATAAAAAGCTTTAAATGCCAAACAACAGAGTATCAGAGGCTATTTGAGTCTAGGTCTTCCTGGCTTTAATCCCAACTCTATCCACTACACCATGCTGTCTTAATATTTTAATCAATTAGTCATTCAACAAGCATTTATTAAGCATCTACTATGTGTTAATCACTGGGCCTTACAATATATGTACTGAGTGTAGAGCTTCAAAATGAGTTTCATATATATTATCTCATTTGGTCCTCACAACCCCAGAAGATAGGGTGGGCAGATGTTCTAAGACCCATTCTCCAATTCCTCTAGGGCTTCCTTTTGGAGATTTTCAAAATTTCTGCTCTGAACAGTATACACACTTCCACATCCCCAGTCCCACAAAAGTTATTCCCCAGACAGGCAGAATATGGGACTAGACGATTTTACCCTAAAGGCCAGGTGAAACTGAACCAAGGGTCAAATTTAGTCATTTGGTCAGGGATTAAGATCTGCTGGTTTGGAATGGAAAGTACTATTGTCAACACTATCCACATCCACGTTTGAATAGGTAAATAAAATACCTTCATGAACTTTTTAGGATCACTTAAAACAAAAAGCATGAGCCTTCTCAAAGAGTGCAAATCTTTTGGCAGTACTAAAAGTGCAAAATTTAGGGGGAAAAAAAGAATAAGGAAGAGATAAAAGTTCCTGCTTCATTTAAGTTGATGAAAAGCAAAATCAATGAATAGAATGCAACGCAATTCGTGAACAAGCGCGCCATCTACTGTACATGAATAGCACAGTAAAGAAGTCAACTCCACAGTCAACAAGGACAGTACATATGAAGTCAGTTTTTGACCATTGCATATTTCTACAAAAGTAGAAAACAAAATCTATTTCAAATTATTAGCACTTTCAGAGACTTCTGATAGGATATCATGAAGGTTATCACAATCATTCTCCCTTATTGTTTTAATAACCAAAAGCATTTAAGCACAATTGCTTACCTGCCATCATAGCTATCATACTGGCTTTGTAGACATTAGTAAGGGAACCAAGTTCTCCTGTTGCCAGAATGGTTTTGAGGTGCACATCTCCACAGGCCTTGCGAAACTGACGGATCTCATCATACAAAGCTGTTGAGGGAAAAAATTATGGCAGCTAAAACTCAGGCAATTGACAACATGGCTTGTCAGCAGTTTAGAGATAGCGGAGCTTATTTAAAATTTGAATAAAACTTATTTAGCATTTTAATTGTCCAAAATTAATAATACCTATTATATGTAAAAAAAAATCTGCTATTTTCAGCTTTCAAGAAAAGTAAAAAGAAAAAGTAATATGTTGACATAGAACGTTGGTTTGAATCTAAAAAAATATTCTTAAAAGATCCTCTGGAAAGGCTTAAAGAGCTCAGCTGACCAAGGTACTTCATAAGCCATATATGGGCCAGGCAGAAACCCTGATAGTCAATGACCACTCCATTTCAATTCTGAAGGAGAACAGAATTCTCCAGCTGGATTGGTGATAGTTGTGGCCAAAGAGTCTCCCGCCCAGCCCCACCACTGCCTGTACTGAGTAGCACTGTCTCACGCTATACACTTTTTTAAGTTACTGAGATAGTCAAACACAATAGTACACAAATGTGAATGTATTTCATGGCTCAATTAAAAGCTATCTGGAACTTGGTTTTTTTTAATCACAATCCGAAACACAAAAAAACACCACCACCCTGTGCCCAAATGGGCACATAGCACTTAACTAAATTAAATAATTAAACAATCAGTAACTTCTCATTTGGGCAATACTCACTCCCTATATCTTTTGGAAAGGCTAACATTTTAGCTATGAACTCTAGAAATGATTTTCTGATTTTTTTTTTCTTTTCAGTAGACTTTTTTTCTTTAAGTTGTAGAGTGGAACTGTAGGTTCATTATTTAGAAAGATATAATTTCTTCCTTTATCTACAAAGCTCAGACTAACTCAGATACTAAATTAGTAAGTCAACAATCATTTATCAGGTTCCAACTATGCTCAACACTGTATTAGGCGCTGTGATGAACAATGATGAAGTGAGACAAAATAGCCCGTGACTTCAAGGAACTTGAAACAAAGCCTCTTTAGAAAAACATAAAGGCAATATCCAGAGCAAAAAGGTTACCATATTTCCATATATTGCTTATCACAAGTTCAAAAATGTTTGACCTCAGACTCCTCTTATTAAATATCATTAACATAAAACGCTAAAAAAATTTTTTTCTTTGATTCTTGAGAATAGCCATTTCCCAAAGATTAGCAACTTAAAAAACATATACAGTATATTTCCAATATACCCACCATGGAAATTCAGTAAGTGCTTATTGACTAACAGTAGACTACAGAAGCATTATCAGTCACCAAGTGTTTCAGCATGCTTCCTAGACATTATAACAATGGGTATCTTGGCAACTAGATGGATAATATATCCCAATCAGAGATTAAATGGATGAAATGTAACCTAGTCAATCTCAAATCATAATATCCATTAACATTTTCAACTGTAACTTTCTTCCAACATAAATGAGCAAAATGATGGAAAAACTAATGGCCTATTTTCTTCTACATTAGTGGGAAAGGAGAGAAGCAGGATGTAGATTTATTATAATTGCTACTGAACTGTATATGTAGAGGAAATTACAAATGAAGTAATAAGTTCAAGAGATTCCCATTCCCTAAAAAATTCTTCATGAGAAGTAATTGCTCAACAGAATGAGTAATCTCTTGAAATTTCAAAGCACCATTCTTCAAAAGCCCCAAGTGCCTTATGTACACTATTTCAACATCATAATAAGCTATCATTTCTATTTTATAGATGAGAAAACTGAAACACAGAAAGGTGAATGATTTGGCCAAGGTCTCATCACTGGGCAGTAGTAGAACAGATATCAGAACTCAGGTTTCCAAGATAATGAGTAAAACCTTACTGCTGAATTAAGTTGCCTCTATCCCAAAAATGTACACGTGTGTGCACATACAACTCTCACAGAATAACATTTATTTCTACAATCACATTTTTTTAAAGTAGCATCCCACAACAGTAAGAGAGCTAGGTTTCTTCTGGAAATTAAAAAAAAATAGAGTAAAACAAAAAAAGTGTTTGGGTTGTTACAGAGACCATAAAAAATTTGGGGCAAATTTAAGTATATGGAAATTTTTATTATATTTATCTATCTTCCAGATGAGAATAGAATAGGAAAAACATGCTAAAATGAAAAAGACCACAACAAATGTCAGGAGACCTAGGGCCTAATCCAAGACCTGCCACTAATTAAGTTATATGACTTCTTAAAAAAAAAATGTCCCAAACTCTCTGTTCCTTAGTTTCTTTATCTGTAAAATGAAGGGGCTGGGAGGAAAAAATTGATAAGGTTCTTTTACTTATCACAGAGTATGATTTTAGGAATTAATCCAAAGGTGATTTTTCATGATTGGCAAAGTCCTACATAAGTTTATTCACTGGGACCCACTCTGACATACACAATAGATATGATAAAACTTCAATGAATGCAAGATGTTCAAATTTACTGCAGAAAATATTCACAAGCACCTCTTGTTGCCAACCTGAAAAGAAAATCTTGCCAGTAACAAGATAAATTAGAAGGCTACTGACAATGACTGACAAATGAAAATGAAATTCCAACACAGGGGTTATAAATAATTTAGGATATGTACCTAATGTAAAATCAAGCAAGAGTGATGTAAAAAAAATTGAGAAATGTCTAGGATATAGATGATGCTTAGAAATAAAATCTTGCGATGGATGTTTTGAGCGTGTGTATGTGTGTGTCCACACACACACACACACACACACACACATATCCTTTGTCAGTTCCAAGAGTGAGATTTGGAGTCAGATCCTGACTCTGCCAATTACTACCTGTTTGACCTTACGAAAGTCATTGAATGTAGTGAATTACAGCAGTGACCTCTTCCCATTAGACTTTTAGGATCAAACAGTTTCTTGCAAAAAAAGTAGAAGCAAAAAATATCATCCCATTTCTCAGTGAACTTGAATGAAAACTGGCAAAAAAAAAATCAGTAGAGAAGACATTGGAAAAAGACAGGCTGGGCTTGTAAAGAATTGTCAGTATGGTGGGTGATGCCCATACTTCTTCTGTACCAAGTCCAAACCCCTCACCATGCCATTGCCCCTGATAAGAATTAAGTTTGGAAGTTGCCAATTCAGGTTCAGACACAAAGAAATTTATTGTTGAAGAGAATGCTCCTGTCTTTTTGTTTTCATGTACTGCTTTAGTTGGTTGGTTGGTTGGTCCAGTAATAAAGGACATTTTAAATTACTGTCCCCTGCATGCTTGTTTGGATTCCAATTGAGAGGTTGCACTATTAGAGGGAATGTTCGTAATGAAAAAAGGACAAGTCATGAAGACTTGAGTAGAAATCTTGCCTCAAATACTTGATGGGGTGACACAACAGAGTGCTAGGCTGTGGAATCAGGAAGACTTGAGTTCAAATCAAATTTCAGACACTGATTAGCTATGTGACTTGGACAAGTCACTTAACCACTATCTGCCTCAGTTTCCTCAACTATAAAATTGAGATAACTATACCTACCTTATACAATTGTTGTGAGGAGCAAATGAGTTCTTTATAACTTGTAAGCTGTTTAGCACAGTGGCTGGCACATTTGTGGTTGTTCAGTCATTTTTCAGTCATTTCCAACTCTTCATGACCTCATTTGGGTTTTCTTGGCAAAGATCCTGAAGTGGTTTACTATTTCCTTCTCCAGCTCATTTTCCAAATGAGGAAGCTAAGGCAAGCAGGGTTAAGTGACTTGCCCAGGATCACACAGCTAGAAAGTGTCTGAGGCCAGATTTTAAATCAGGAAAATGAGTCTTCCTGATTCCAGGCCCAGCACTCTATCCACTGTGCTAGCTATCCACTAGCTACCCCTGCCTGGCACATAGTAGGTGCTCAATAAATGCCTATTACCTCTCCTTCTCATTTGTTAAAGACTTAATTCTGCTAATAAAGTTTATAAGAAGGAAGAGAGGGAGGAAAGGAAAGGAGAAAAGAAAGAGAAAAAAGGAAGAAAGGAAGAGTAGGTGGAAGGAAGGGAAGAGAGGAAGGGGAGAAGAAGGAAGGGCTGAAGAGAGGGAAGGAAGGAGGAAAGAGGTAGACATGTAAGGTAAGAAGGGAATCATGTGAAGGAGTTAAAGAAGGAAGGGTATAAGGAAAGAAAGGAATGAAGGGAGGGTGGCTGGGAGGGAGAAAAGGACAGAAGAGAGAAAGAAGAAGGAAGAAGGAAAAAAGGAAGGAAGGAAGGAAGGAGAAGGAGGGAGGGAGGGAAGAGAGAAAGAGGGAAAGAAGGAAAGAAAGTCATCCAAACTTTATTTTTCAATAAGCTCTAAATCTATGACCCTATGAAAATAGGTGTGCTGGCAGTCTAAGGTACATTATATTATTGGTGCTTAAACATTCTAATAATGAAATTCATCGAATAGGTATCTCCTGCCTGCCCCATCCTACCCCATCCTTGAGACTTCAATTACAGTAACCCTAAACTTTCACCACTAGCCCTGGGTTCCTAGGCAAGGAAGAATCAAAGTCATTGAGTATTTTGGCTGTTTCATTGTTTTAACACAAGGTATCCAATCAGTGTTCACTAACAGGTGGCAGAGAAATTGCTCATCTTCAGAATGGTCTGGTGAAGGAGTATATAACAGGGCACAAGATAGGAGAGAATACTGTACATCAGAATTAACCACCATCCATATGGATTTGAAAGGGGTTTATATCTTCTATAGCATTATCTCCCCATGCCATGGGAAAGGTAAAGTCAAGGCTTGCTTCTTTGTTCTTTTTTCTTTTCTTCCATTTAAAATAGTCTTGTCCTTCCTTCCAGCTCCCTACCGAAATAAAAGAAAGCTTCATTTGAAATATACTCACCCTCTCACCTTAGGGTTTCTTCAAAATTTTTTAGATATGTAAACAATACTATTGATAATCGTGGAAAACTATATTAGAAAAAACTTTCGATGGGGATTAGTGGGTGGGAGGTGGCAGAGAGGGAGAAAGGATTAAATTAAGTAAGATCCTAAGAGTTTAAAGACTAGGTTTCTGATATAAATCACAGAATGAA